TAAGATCCCGGCAGTCAATACACATACGCATGGATCCGTCCTTCTTCTTGACAAAAAGGACTGGTGCTCCCCACGGAGAAACGCTCGGTCGTATAAAACCGAGATTCAGCAACTCTTGAATTTGGGTCTTTAATTCCTGCAATTCTTTAGGCGCCATTCTGTACGGTGCCTTTGAAACGGGTCCGGCTCCAGGGATAAGATCAATAGAAAATTCCACCTGTCGGCTAGGTGGACCTCCGGGAAGCTGATCTGGAAACACGTCCACGAACTTATGAACAATAGGAATGTCATGAGGTGAACGTGCCTTTGGCTCATCTCCAACGAGGCTCACAAGATAACCCTGGCAATCACCCCGTCGAAGAATCTTTCTGGCTTTCGCCATAGTAATAACATGAGGCAAAGTACGAGTCCTAGAGCCGTAATAAGTGATCTGATCATCTCCTAGAAGATAAAGAGTAATCTCCCGGTCGTGACATCGGATATCTGCGTGAAAATGTGTTAGCCAATCCATACCGAGTATGAGGTCAAAATCCCTCATCTCGATAACATAAGCATCAGTAATCAGAATACGGCCGCAGATGGAAAGGCTGAGATCAGTGGCTCTAGCGTCAGTCACTATCTTTCTTCCAGAGGCTAAACTCACCTCGAGAGGATCGACAGTAGTAGTGGAACTAACCCCAATAGCTTCGAGACATCGACGCGATATAAAAGAATGGGTCGCTCCGGTATCAAATAAGGCATAGACAGGCACATCATTAAGAATAATCATCCCGGACATGGTACCTGGGTGCTGGTCGGCCTTCCTCTAGTCAACTGCAAAGACGCGGGCCTGTTGTCTGCCGCGTTGCTGTTGCTGTGGTCGTTGTGGTTGCTGCCTGGGCTGCTGTTGTTGAGGTTGTTGTGGTGGTTGACGTTGTTGCGGTTGTTGTTGCAGTCGTTCTGGACAGTTGGTGCTGAAGTGACCTGGCTGGCGGCAAAAGAAACAAACATTCTGGCCTACGAGGCATTCTCCACGGTGGTGTTTCCCGCAGGTTGGGCATTCTGGATATTGTCTGGGGCGGGTCCTCCGGTTGTCTGGGGCCCCTCTGAGCTTCCTCTTCTTCTGGTTCTTTGATGATTGGGCAATGTTAGGCTGGGCTGATGGCTGAGCAACTGGCTGGGCTGGTGTCTGGACGGCTTCTCGTCGGATACTGGCATCGACTTCTTGTGCAATGGCAACTGCGCGAGCGTAGGTCTGGATGTCGTGACCTACGATGTTGTGGCGGACTGCTGGGCGAAGTCCGTCGGTGAAACCGTGGGCTCTCTTTGCCTCCGTACCCACAAGATCAGGTACAAAGGCTCCGAGACGGGTGAAATCTCTTTCGTACTCGTCGACAGAATGAGTACCCTGAGTGAGTGCCAAGAACTGGCGCTCCATGTCTACTCGGTAATACGAGGGATAATACTTCTCTCGGATCAGCTCCTTGAACTGGTCCCACTTACAACCGTCTTTTTCACCAGGACGCATACTCCAATAGGCATGCCACCAGAGTCGGGCATCACCGGTCAGCTGGATCTGGGCACATAACTTGCGGTAACGATCAGGGCAGTTCATGACCTCGAAAATAATCTCGAGACCCTGACCCATTCATCTACTATACGAGGATCTCCTTGGCCGGAAAACTTTTCTGGATGGTAGTCGCGAAACAAAGCGACCACTGTGGCCTGTGGAAGTTCCTGGTGATCTGGTTCTCTACGAGGAGGCATCTGAACATCGAAATATTTAACATGATTAAATAACATAAAAGATTAACTGACTAACTTCTTAAGTACACAAATCTCTTGACGAGTCGCTAAATAACCCGAGAATACTAAAGTCGAACTATCAAATGCCTGAGACAATCGACTAAGTTCTAAAAATACTCGAGCATCTTACTGGTTTCTAGGGTCAAATATCTGATACCCTCTTACTGAGCATAGACTTAAGCATTCGTTTAAATATATAAACTGAAACTCAGCACTTACCTGATAGTCGGCGAGGCGTGAGCGTAGCGTGGTCGGGTCTTTTTTGAAAATTTTTGACTTAAAAGTATTCAGATACACGAAAATGTGCTCTGATACCAATTTGTAATACCCCACTAGCTTCCTAAAATCAGAGTGCAATTTTCGCAAATTCTTTTCTAAAATTTACGTTTTAGTTTGCGAAATATATCTCACGATGCTACACCAAAATATTTCTTTTCTAAAAATCCGTTAACTTTATTAATTTTTAAACCCATTTATGAAAAACGGATTATCTTTTATAACACAAGCGTGTGATACTGTATAAAACTTGACCCGAAAGCTCGGATCATCGTCTGAGAATTTACACGCTAGTTTGAAAGACTGAAAACATCAGCGGAAGTAAGAACGTGGCAAATATGTACATATCAACAGTCTGCAAAAATATATACATATTTACATGGACTAGACCGGCGACCACCAGCTCCACTCACTCCTCCGGACCGACCCTGTCACCTGAAAAGATCATAATAGTGGGAGCGTGAGTACTAAAAACACTGTACTCCGCAGAAACTCATACTAAAGTAAACATTAATAATAATATCAATATCATGACTACCGGTATATATAAGTAAACTGTAATCTGTAAACTCCAGACACGAGGTCTGTACTGGACTGGCCATGTGCACAATCTGATGGGCAATTAAGGCGACTACGCCTCCACCAGAACTCTGGATGGGCAATTAAGGCTATTGCGCCTCCACCCAAAGTGGAATAACTGATATACATACCTTAAAAACATGATAGAGCAATTATAACCAATGTAACACCCAGTCTGAGTTCCCACTTGTACTGATAATGTAAGTGCTGCTGTTGATCACACTGTAAAAATATATAAATAAACAAATACTAAGTACTACGCTCAGACTGACTGAAAATAACTGTTAAGATGATCGACTCGATCTAAATATTTAACTGGAATATTCTCAGGACTTAACTTGATCGACAAGAAAAATGGACTGAACTGATATTGGCGAACTGGACTGACTGGACTGAAACATTAACTGAAATATTGTACTGGACTTAAACCAGATCAGTAAATATTGAACAGCTCAAAACCGGTCTAAACCGGCTGGTTCATTTTCTGGCCGGACCGCCGAC